CGGTCTCTGCTTCATAATCATTATGATTATAAACTGTAATAAGTGTTGTAATCTGATTTTTGAAAATACCAGATGAAAGAGTTTCATCTAAACAAAAATGTATTCAATGATCTTGTCTTTGATATTTATCATTTTGTTTAAAATAAAATTCAATTGTAATATCTTACCAGTAAAAAGAGATCGAGCTGATTCTTCATTAATATTATAAAGACCAATAGTATCTAAATGAGGATAATTGATAGCATGTAAAACATGTTTCATAGATGATGATTCAAGATCAAGCCATTTTATTTTATCATGAATTTCAGGTAGAATTTTTAAACAAAACCGATTAAGCATTATATCAGAACAAAATAGATCGATAAAACCATCTGATAACCATTTGACAAAAGACAAACGATTTGTAAAAATTGGATCATGAATTATTTTATTTAGTCGTTGATTGACACCTTGAAAAGAATAAAGTATATCAATATTGTTCAATTTTTGAAAAATAATCATAAGAATTTCATCAGGTAAATTATTTAATCCAATACATGAATATTCCATGTTCATTTTCATTGATCTATTCAATTCAACTTATCATCGTCAATATTTATATTCATATAGAATAATCTGTTCTATTTGATCGATGTCGTCAATACAAACAATAATGCATTGTTTCATAGTCAAAATTGATAATCAATACATGTTGTTATTCATTTTTCTCCTTTTTCTAATATGTCATATAATAAAAATTGATACTCTTTTCATTTATTTATTTATTTAATATAGTGTGCATACGGACATTTTCAAGGTTCACTTGATATTTAATTAAAATTAATCAATTAAAAAATATTTCTCTAAACGTTTGAGAAAATGAATTTAAAAGTTTTAGAATAGACTCTATAAAGACAAAGTCAATTTTGAACTTCTCATTCACTATATTTAATTGTTGTCAAAAAGAGAAAAAAAACGTTTATTTAATTACTTCTGCTGGAATATGTTTGAATTTTAATTCAATAGATTTTGAAAAGACTCAAGAAAAATGTGAAAATCTTCAAATGTAGTTCTATGAGTATGAATAGTCACTTGAATAAATAATTTCTTATGAATATATGATGTTGATGGTATTGTAATTCCTAATAGTTATATATCAACAATAAATTTATTATTGAATGCATCGAAATATTCTATGTTATTTTAACCAAGTATTTTTGATTGAAATCGAAAATTGACAATAATTAGAAGTCATACAGGACAAATAATACGAGAAAGATCATCATGTTTTTCAAATGAAAAAAAAAAAAAACAAAATATTGAGATTGTTCAAAATGTTCAGCCATTTTTTTATCTAATTTAATAAATTTATGTTCTTTAAGAGAACATCATACTTTCAATGCACGAAATGTGTATGAAACTTTAGAACCTAGATTATTGAACCATAAATTGCTAATTATAATTTCTCGCGAGTTTTTGCATATGTAGATGTTATGCATGTTGAAAGTGGGCTCAAATAAAATGGCATCACGAATGATCACATAGCAGCATCATATTGATATTGAAGCCATTTTTGTGTACTCAAAAAGTGAGTACACTACTAAAATCGGTCACTGTGTCCGTCCGTTTATCCGATAACTTTCGAAAGGAGAGTCGGATCGTGATGAAATTTTCTACACAGTTCAGTCTTTAGAATATCTCGGTCGAGTTCGAAGATGAGAAGGATTCGTCGAGAAATGGCTGAGTTATCAAAAAAATGGTGATTTTTGACCAGACCATCCCTGAGGAGGGGGTACAGGGATTTTTTCAAAAAAACATTTTTTTCTCTGAATTATTCACAACATATATAA